GCTGAGCAAAGTGACTAGAACGCAACCATACACTTATAAAAAAAAACACACTTTATAAAGTCAGGCAACACTAACCAGGCTTCGTGTGATTCTGTTTATTTGTACCTTACTTTGACCATCCGTTCACTGTTATTGATCATTGTGGAGAGAGGCAGAAGTGTTGTTTTGTATTATAGCAGCTATCGGATGGAATCAATACATGGGCTGCACAGGTTGTCGTGTCCGACTATCACAAGTAGAATCATAAAAAAAAAACGCCGGTAAAATGTGCCTGTAGAAAACGGCTTATGCCACAATATGATAGCAACAAGAAGTCAATATAGTCAGTTTAGCTTCGGTTGCTATGCTAACATCACCCATTTTATACAAACCAGTCTCACGGCATTTCGTGTTATAGTCACGAAATTGTATCTATTGATTCGTGTTCACCGGGAACGATTTTAAAAGCAATGTATTTCTATTGGTAGTATGTTTCGTGCCTGCACCACGTATTTTTGTCGGGTCGGGTCTTGGAAGACCGGAAGCTGTGTGGTTCATAAAAACATGTTCTTACTCAATATCAAGCCACGATTATTGTTTTTAATTTTAAATCGTATAATGTTGGACTTTTTTTGTCGTCTGTGAGGAAAATAAATGGAGCTCAGAGCCTCAGGATAGTGAAATCTGTATTTTTCTTATCTTTTTTTCCTTCTAATTTGTTATTATTTTCTAAATAACACACTTCCAAGACCCGACCGGACGAAAAGACGTGTTGCAGGCACGAAACACACTACCAATATAATTACATTGCTTTTAAAATCGTTCTGTGTGACACGAAAAAAAGGGGAAAATCGTGTTGGTGAACACGAATCAATGGATTAAATGTCGTGAGATTGTGTTGTTTTATACCAGAGAAACTTTCATAACAGCGTTGTGATGCCAAACAACATCAATTCATACTGACACATATTCACTTGAGGGGAATTGGGGATGGGGTATATTTATCAGCAGCTTGTGTGACAGTCAGAGAGTGAATACTTTACAGCCACCGCCGTGAGTTAACGGGAGAATAAACTCCGGTGGACGAGCAGCACTGCAGCGGTCGGTAAATGCCGCTGAAACACATTAATAAACAATGAACCACGGCACTCTGGAGAAAAGTATGAGGTTGGAGAAGTAGTTATTTAATTTAATCTGGCTGCGTATGATTAAATGCAACACGATCATCGACCCGACGCAGTCCCCCGTTGTTGTTGTTGTGAGCGCCGTTGGGGAGAAAATCAGCGACTTAAACGGTGACGTCATGACGCAGCAGCGGCAGCACCAGTCGGGCTCTGGGCGGTGTGAACACAACGGGGGCTGAAAAGAAAAACCGGTTCCGAACCAGAAGAGCGCAAGCACGGAGCTAGAACGGGAGCTGCGTTGGTGTGAAAGGGGCATAAGAGGTGGTTCTCACTCAAGTTAGCTTGTTATTAAAATCCTAAAGGCCTAAAATATCAAAAACACTAGTGTGTTCCTGTATCTTACCTAAATGACCTAAACCAATACAAAGAACACACCAGGCCTAGAAACCGGTCAGAGAGAGGGAACCTGCTGCCCCAGGCTCACCAGCCTCTGAGCTACAGCTTCATTTAACTGGGGGAGAGTGTGTTCCTATTAAAGGATTCTAGTACCCCTTCAAAAAAGGAGAAAAATAACAAGAACCAGAGACGGAGATAGAAGCCTGGTAAATACGTCATGGTAAGTGGTCATGCATGCATGTTGCATAGACAAATGTTTCATATCTCAGACTAGGTGTAGGTGAAGCCCAGAATCCTCACCTGGCTGTCCAGGTAAATAAGGTTCCTCTGGAGGTGATGAGAGAGAACATCAGGTCTGCAGGAGGCGCAGAAGAAGAAGAAGAAGAAGAAGAAGAATAAGAAGAAGAGAAGAAGAAGAAGAAGAAGAAGAAGAAGAAGAAGACGAGGAAAGAAGAAGAAGAAGAGAAGAAGAAGAAGAGAGGAAGCAGGAAGTGACAGGACAAGGAGGGAAAGGATGAAGAAGAAGAAGTCAAAGGCACATTTTCAAAAGGAAGAAATATAGCATCAGAAGGGAAGGCAGAACATGTGATGTCAGAGGGTCATTACCATGGCAACACTACATATTTTATTTTCTGTCATTCACTTTTCAGTGAAAGTAATACCAGGGAACATGTTTTAGCTGCCTCTACTTAACCACAGTTTATTTATCATAACAACAATCCTCCTCCAACTATAACCAGACTGTAGTTGTAATGCACAGATGATGGAGAAAGGAAGAGTTTTAAAACGGTTGGCATTGAACGGATAAACACCTCATTCAATAATAAACTGTATTTAGCAGAATCCTACAGAGAAGTCATGTTAGATGTGAATAGTGGACGGTTAGTGTTGTAGTTCTCAAGACCACTATTTAACGGTCTTGGTCTTGTCTCGGTATCGACCGCATTTGGTCTCGGTCTTGTCTCGGTCTCGGAACCTATAGGTCTCGAGATGTTATGTCAAGACCGGTCGAGACCGTTCTTATTATACATCCATGGTCGAGACCACAGCTGTTGCTGGGGATGTGATTGGATGTAAAACGCCCTGTTAAAAAAATGCAACTAATAACGTGACTCTTTGCCCTCATGCGCCGCAATGTTTGTAAACAGGGCACTGGTCTATACCGGCTGATACCCCCCCACCTCTCGCCGTTCACACACACACTCAAACGGTCTTGCAGTGAAGATGTTGCAAAGTGTGTGTGTGGCTTACGAGCTTTCAGTGACGCAAACTCCTGAGTGTGAGAGAGAGGGAGAGAGAGAGAGAATGTGTATGTGTGTGTGTGTGTGTGTGTGTGTGTGTGTGTGTGTGTGTGTGTGTTAAAGGGTTTTCCTTCATCCTGTGTGTGTTTGTCTACAAAAGTGGTTCCTGGTTGGTTTGATTTTTGTTTGTTGCCTAGACCTATATACCGTACAATGCATATTATGATGTTACACATGATATTGTAAGTGTATCATGTAGTGTTGGATTCATAGTAGTCTGGTTCCGGTCTTGACTCGGTCTCGCCCTGCCTTGGTCTTGATCTTGACTTGGTCTCGACCTCTTAAAGTCTTGGTCTTGACTTGGTCTCGACCTCTTAAGGTCTTGACTTGGTCTCGACCTCTTAAGGTCTTGACTTGGTCTCTACCCTCTTCAAGTCTTGGTCTTGACTTGGTCTCGACCTCTTAAGGTCTTGACTTGGTCCTCGACCTCTTAAAGTCTTGGTCTTGCTACTCTCCGGTCTTGGTAATGTATTGGTCTCGGATAAGGTGGTCTCTCGACTACAAAACTAGTGGACGGGTTGATTATCATGAAGCAAGAGAAGTAGAATCAGAAGGTTGATGCAGCGATGATGATGAGGCAGCTGGGTTCTCTGCTCCTACAAAAGTATTTTGTTCACACACGCATGGAGGGCTGTCCAATACCTTCAGCAGATATTTACAGCCAATAAAAACCCAGGACTAATGTGGCTATGATGTGAAAGAGAATAGAATGAGTCTCTGTCCACAGGTGCTGCAGTACAGTTAGTTAACAACATACATGACTTTACAGGTATGCAGCCTTCAAGACAAGGGAAACAAACCACATCTTAACACTATCACCACATTACCATATCCAAAATCCCAGTTAATACAGAATGTAGTCTCATATCACAATAACAAATCACAAGCATTTCATTGGCTAGGTCTAAACACATGCAAATGTTTGAAGTGTTCGGTCCGGTCAACCAAAGAAACATGACTACATGCAAGTCTGCATGTTGTCTGATGCATCAGCACAGGAGCCTGGGGGGGGGGGGGGCCATGCATGGACAGGAGCAGTGTCCCCATACAGAAATACACATGCTCAAACACTCTCCCACACACAGATGCAAAAGAAAGCCCATAAATAAACACACCAATCCACAAAATGCCCAACAAAATGAAACCCTCCAACCATAATGTACAATAAAACAAGAAAGAAACTCCAGGAGGAAATTGAGTTTGGGGTGTTCATCGAGCCAAGTGAAAGACTTTAGTATTTACCAAACACAACAACACCTGCAGCTGGTCAAACTGTAATCTGACGTCTAAAGTAAACCTGTCTCTGTGTGAAGTGTTAAAGAAGATCTTCTGGCACCAAAGAGAAAATCCCAGTTTCGCTGCACTGTTGCTATGGTTACTTGTTACTGCACTGGTGACCTGGGTCGGAGATACAGTCGATACTTACACAAGTTGCAGTGAGTAGTGTCTTGTTCCTCAACCAACATCCAGTAGATGCTTTATGATTTTCACCCACCAGCCCCTCACTGACCATGATCTGATTTAGACAACTGTCAACCCAACTTTAACTGCGGCTAATATTTTGATTTTGTCTATAAGTTTTGTGGCACTTGTCCCCAATATGTACCCCAAGGTCGATTCCTATGTACATGAGATGTTATTAACTGTCACCACAGAGGTTTTTAAGGATCCATTAGCCAGTGCTCTGGAAGAAGGATACCAAATGTAAGACAATTCATCTATGGGCATTATCTCTGCTCCAATTTCACTTTACAATGGTACTGATAATGTCAACTTGGTGGTACTGACGCAAGTCTGCAGACCATACACGTCACCTAGGAACTATGAATATCTGAACCATATTTTGTGCCAATGTACATGTCAAGCTATTGAACTGGATGAGTGGGAACTGCTGATAGTGATAGATCAGTTCTACTCTGCGGATTATCAATATCTATACATGATTTCTTGACAATCGAACAGTTGTTGAGTTATATCTGTCTGGACATAAGAAGTGGACCAGTGCAGTCTTTGGCTCGCGGATGAACACACATCTTTCAGAACACACCAAAGCAATTTCATTCAGAGTCAGATTGAATAGTCTCACACAAAGAACCTTGCCTTGCAAATACACACAGGATTTGGATTTGACAGCTTGTTGGGAAAGCACAAATGCGTGCATGCACACACACGTACAGTTCTGTATACACCCAGTGCTGACCTTAGCGTTGGGCCCCTCCAGACCCAGGGCCATGAGCTGAGACACTGTGTGCTCCCGCAGGCTGCTGATCTCCGCCTGCTGCCGGCGCAGCTTGATCAGGAGCAGCGTCAGCTCCTCGGGCTGCCACAGCAACACACAGAGAAGAAGAGCTGCCTCACTGACATCATCACCATGATGCAGGGATCTGCTACGGCAACCATTTAAGAACAATTCATTCCCTATTATGAGATGATGTATTCAAGCTCTTTTAGATCTGGATGCAGTTTATTATAAGTGATGGCACTTTAGCTTCTGCTAAACTGCTACCCCAGGTCTACCCAGCCTGCTTTTTACATCCAGGTCAGTTAGTTAGTTTATATTTATTTATTCAGGAAATGTCATTGAGATCAAGATTTGCAATCTCGCAGAACAACATACGTACCTACACAAGAAACAGTGTGAACCGAAACCTCAGCAGGGGTGGTTTACTAGAAAAGTATAATATGAGGGGCGCGGAGCTTGTATATAAGATATATAAAGTATCTCGAGAACATGTCGCCCAGTATACTATACAAGATGGCGCCGCAGCGGAAACAACAACTTGACATCGGAGCTCTGTGAAATCAAAGCTGTCTCTAATTCGACACCATCTTCATATTTACATTACATTACATTACATTTTAGCTGACGCTTTTATCCAAAGCGACTTACAATAAGTACATTCGACCAGGAAGACACAACCTTGAAGAAACAAAATCATATAAGTACATCAGGTTTCATAGAGCCAAACATTTCAAGTGCTACTCAACTGGCTTTAGGTAAGCCAGTCCTTTATTAGTATAAAAGTGCTTCGTTAATAGTTCTAACGCTCGAAGTGGAGTCGAAAGAGATGAGTTTTCAGTTTGCGCCGGAAGATGTGCAAGCTATCTGCCGTCCTGATGTCAATGGGGAGCTCATTCCACCATCTTGGAGCCAGGACAGCAAACCACGTGTTTTCGCCAATGGGAACTTGGGTCCCCCTCGCAGCGAGGGCGCAACGAGTCGTTTGGCTGATGCAGAGCGTAGTGCACGTGCTGGGGTGTACGGTTTAACCATGTCCTGGATGTAGGAAGGGCCAGATCCATTCGCAGCATGGTAAGCAAGTACCAGTGTCTTGAAGTGGATTCTAGCAGTTACCGGAAGCCAGTGAAGGGAGCGGAGGAGCGGAGTGGTGTGGAAGAATTTAGGAAGGTTGAAGACCAGACGAGCCGCTGCATTCTGGATGAGCTGCAGAGGTCGGATGGCACATGCAGGTAGACCAGCCAGGAGGGAGATGCAGTAGTCTAGGCGTGAGATGACGAGAGCCTGGACCAGAACCTGAGTCGCTTTCTGAGTCAGCTGGGGACGTATCTTCCTGATGTTGTAAAGCGTGTATCTGCAGCAACGGGTTGTAGCAGCGATGTTTGCAGTGAAGGACAGGTTGTTATCTAGGGTCACACCCAGATTCCTTGCAGTCTGAGTCGGGGAAACAACTGAGGTGCCGATGTTGATTGTTAGGTCAAGAGTGGGACAATCTTTTCCCGGAGGAAGAGCAGCTCAGTCTTGTCAAGGTTGAGCTTGAGGTGGTGAGCAGACATCCACTGAGAGATGTCAGCTAGACAAGCAGAGATGCGTGCGACGACCTGGGTCTCTGAGCGGGGAAAAGGACAGAATTAATTGGGTGTCGTCAGCGTAGCAGTGGTAAGAAAAACCATGCTGGCTAATGACTGATCCGAGCGAGTTTGTGTACACGGAGAAGAGGAGGGGACCAAGAACAGAGCCCTGAGGGACCCCCGTAGTTAATTGACAAGGGTCGGACTCAGACCCTCTCCAAGTCACCCTGTAGGTACGGTCTTTCAGGTATGAGGTGAGGAGGGAAAGTGCAGAGCCTGAAACTCCAAGTTTTTGGAGAGTGCGAAGGAGGATCTGATGATTCACCGTGTCGAATGCGGCAGACAGGTCCAATAGGATGATGACAGAGGAGAGTGATGCAGTTTTAGCAGTGTGCAGTTCCTCAGAGACAGCAATGAGAGCAGTTTCTGTGGAGTGACCTGCCTTGAAACCAGACTGGTGCGGATCCAGAAGGTTGTTCTGATTGAGATAACAGGAGAGTTGTTTAAAGACAGCGCGTTCAAGTGATTTAGACAGGAACGGGAGGAGAGAGACAGGCCTGTAGTTTATAACATCAGACGGGTTGAGAGTGGGTTTCTTTATTATATTAAATATAATAAATATTATATTTCTGATAAACGTTTTCCATCAAACTGCAGGCACATTATCCACAGTCTGCTTCAAACTGAGATACAGTCCTCATCCTTGATCGCTGTTGCTCCAATTTAAAAAGCAAATGTAATTTGACTCATCGCACTGCATGTTTGTGAGCACTGTCATTAGAGACAACTGTATTGTCAATATTACATTTAACCAGCTGAGACAAAAGAGAAAATAGAAGCAGTTAAGAGTCTGCTGGGAACAACATCAGTGAGATAGACGTGAGTTCACTGAAATCAAGGGATTATATCTCACAGTGTTCAGTGTCGGGGGGGGGCTCTTACCGTCTTGCCCTGCAGGGACTGAGGGGTGATGGACGGGGGAGGGACGCCCCCTGCTATGGACCGCCGATCAACAGTGTAGCCGTGCTGTCGGGGGGAGGGATGAGAAAGGAGTGAAATCGACAGTAGAAGTTATTCTGGGATTCATTTCAGTAAGGGGATTCATTAAGTACAATTAGTTCAAAGGAGAAAAATGAAGAATCCCCTGTATGACTCCACTTATGATATTGCTGTTCATGCATTACTTCTCACTGCTGTCCTGAGCCTCAAGCCCCCCTCAGCGGCCCCCAGGTGATCCGAGGGGATAGCTAACTGAGGGAGAACTAGCTACACATAGAGTAGAAACCAAACCCTGTTCACATGATGACATTTGTTGCACACTGGACGAAGGAGTAGATATTGTATGTATTGTATTTACATGTATTTTTGTGATGCAGCACCTGCATACTGCATAATGCAGGGTAGTGAGCAGGCCCAGAGTCCACTGTGTCTGGAACTTCCGTTGACACACATTTCATATCACTCTTACGTAAACATGTCCAAACTAGTGTGTATATGTAATGTAAAGGTGCTTTGGGAACACTTGAAAAAATGGTAATGAATTATTATTAGTTATTATTATATGATGTGGACTGGAGGATAGATGTATTATATTAGCTTATTGATTTTGTTAGTGTAGATTGTTACTTAGTCGGATTAAAATGTAAAAAGTAATTTAGCCAATTCAAACCAAAGTATTGCAAAGCCCTTAAACTGTATGTAATCACTCTGCAAGAGGAACATCAGAGCATTTAAAGAGGGAGCATCATTAAAACGAGAGGTAACAATAGGAAACAGTCAGCCATGGTTAACACTGCTGTCTGTTTGACCAACCATCTCATGCGCTCTATGTTAGGAGCAGAACAATGATCGGACTCAATACTAGTGTTAATTTCGTTGACTAAAACTATGACGAGTATGTTCGTCAACGACCTTTTTTTCCATGACGAAAACGAGACGATGACGAGACGGCACCGACGGCAGTAAACAATAACTGTAACGAAATCATCATGCAATATCGTTGACGAAAAGTGACGAGACGAAAATGTAGTTTACTAAATAAAAACTATGCCAAAATCTCTCTTTACTTTCGTTGACGAAAAATGAGGAGACGAAATATTATCAAAGATAACGTTACATCTCTGATAGTCGGTTTTTCTCCCAGCAGTTCCATTTCCGGTGCTGCGGCAGGGCAGCAGCTGTGTGTCCGTGCTGCGCGCGGCGGTACATTTGAATTACACCGGGCAGCGGCACACTGTGAACTGTCAGGAAGACTCGGATCTAACTCATGGTCTAACTAACCTTATTTAACAGAAAATAAAATGGCAACAACAGGGCTTGGGAGCAGTGGTCGCACTCGCGTTAACCGAAGACCCCCCCGTCAGCGCGAGTGAGTGATAAATTGTGCACTCGACGGATAATAATGGATTATGACGGAAATGTTACGATCCTGTCCGTCAAAATGACTGACAACGAAAAAGTCTAAGAGCCACCACTGCTTGGGGAGAAAAGAAACATTGATATTGGGCCCATTTCGCTACATGAGGGCGGAGATAAAAAAGCGAATGCAATTGTTTTATCAGAAGGGAAGCAATGTGGCCATAACACAAGCTGGTGAAAACACCACAAACCTGAGCAGATCCCTCTCTGCAAAGCTGCATTCTTTTAATCATTCAGACCTGTGTTTTTTCATCAAATAAGGACAAGATATAATCTTATTTATTTATATATACTAAAATGACAAATTATTGGGTTTTGGCTAGACTAGTTGACTGAAATGTTCTATATAATCTGATGACTAAAAAAGACTCAAACAGTTTTTTATATGACAAAAAGTAGACTAAAAGAATTAGTTTTCTTTGACTAAAATAGACTAAAAATGCTCAGACTTTTAGTCGACTAAATCTTGACTCAAATGTTTACTGTTTTAGTCGACTAAAATAAGACTAAAATGCTCAGACTTTTAGTCGACTAAAACTTGACTAAATAAAAACAGGATGAAGGTGACTAAATATGACTAAAACTAAAAAGAACATTTAACACAGGACTAAGACTAAAACTAAATTAAAAAATAGCTGACGAAATTAACACTACTCAATACATGTCAATGTAATTTAATTCTGCAGCTACACTGGGCTACATTTATGTATTGCTTGAGGTAGAACATTGTTAAACCAGAAAAGACAAAGTAAAATAAAAACCCCTCATAAAGCCATTCAATATTATATTTAATTTTACCCGTAAAAAAGAACAGACAGCAAAAAGCAGGCAGCTTCTCCATTGCCCCGACACTCTAACTGTAATATTTTCATTAGTTTTAATTATCTAGAAAAATGTATCCTATAATGCTGTTCTTAAATAATGTCTACTTAATAGGGGTGTAACGGTTCACAAACATTTCGGTTTGGTACGTACCTCGGTTTTTAGGTCACGGTTCGGTTCGGTACGTTTTCGGTACAGCAGAACAAATTATCACAAAACATAACATATTTTTTAAAAATTATTATTAAACTGTGAATAATGTATTCACTCAAATAAATACAAAATATAATAAAATAAACATTAAGGTGCAGCTTTTCGATGAACTGAAATAATCTGTATTTGAACTGTACTAGCACCTAAGCAGCCAGTTTGACATTATGACTTGCTTGTCATTGTATTTTCATGTTTTTTTAAAGAAAGATGAACTTGTCCACATTGCTTGCCGAAAGAGGCAGATCTGCTGGCACTAACAATGTCTCTTGTGGAGAACACCCTCTCTAGTGACAGAGGTAGTAGCAGACAGCCAGGTAGCGCTTTGCTAACATGGCAACATAAGGATATATTGGCGTTTGTAATAGCTTTGGCTCGGTCCTGAACTTGTTGCGAGTGGTCGAGGCTTAATAATGCTAGCGGGAGTTGGGTTTGCACTTCAGTCTTTTGGTACCGGTGATATTCACGTTCGGGTGATGCCTTTTCAAATGAGTGTGCAAGTTTGATGTATTGCCAGCCGCGTAACTAATTTTAGTTGAACAATGCCGACAAACAGCTTTGGTTCGGTCCACCTTGTCTTTGTCCGTCATCCTTGTACGTAACTGCGAAACCAAAATGTTCCCAAACCGGAGACTTCAATGATGCTGGAGGATTTTCCAGCTCAACTTTATCTGCGTTCGCTATTTCGACAGTTCCTCAAATGACTGACTACATTTGACGCATCCCTCTGACCAGCTCTCATAGTATGCCTCTCGTCCAATGAAATGACTTGCTCGCTCGCGTTGAACACAATGTGAGCAAATTACTCTGAATGCTGCGACGCAGCACCTGAGATTACTTCCAAGAAGTTGTTCACGTTCTCAATTTTTATGTTTAACGTTATTATTCGTACACACGTGTACCGAAGTAATTTACCGAATAATTTCGGTACGGGTACCGTTACACCCCTACTACTTAATGTTCCACTTTACATCGGCCTGTTACGCAACCCTTTTTTACTTTTATAAAGCGCTTTGTAGTGCTGTTTTTGACTGGAGTTTCACTCTCATCTTTGAGTCAAACCACAGTGCCAATGTACCTTTGCAGGGAGGGTCCTGTGCCAGGGGTCAGGGGTCTCCCTCCTGAAGACGGGCGAGGACACCTCGGAGTGGGAGCTGCTGGGGTTGTGGGGGGCCTGCTGGCGAGGGGGGGGGAGGGTGCTGTAGAGAGCCAGGGAGCCGTGAGAGGGTGAGGGGGGGATGGAGTGTGCCACGTGTTCCGAGATGTTGCCCATGGTCTTAGCGCTGGGCAGAGTGCCGTAATGCCCCCCCGCTGCAACACCAGGAGAGAAGGATGTCAAATGGGGGGAGAAGTTTATGATTTCAAAATAGAGAGGTTCAAATAATTTACATTCCTAATTAAGGGTCCGTTATCCGGAAATCATGCCTTCTCACTCTTTTTTTTTTAACTCGTAATTTGCAACATTCTAATGTGAAGACACATTCTATTGTCTGACACCTAAAGTGGAACCGCAGGGAACAGACGCACTGACTCATCCCACTTTTGACGGATTAAAGTGGATTATACAGCTCTAACTATTTGAAAGAAAGGTTAAAGTATAATTCTTAAAGTACATATAAGACTAGTGGTATTTGCTTTCGCCATGACAAGGATGCTCAAAAAGCCAGAGTGTTAGAAGACACTTAGCTTTGTTAGCCAACTAGGCTAATTTGGACAATTCCCCTTCTTAGTCTTCCTGGAGGACAGGAAGTGGTCTGTACCTGTTGGCATAGCCAGACTCTGCCTGCGAAAGGCCTGCCTCTGCTGCCACTCGTACAGCTGCCACATGGTGTCGTCCCTCATGGACCTCCTCCTCTCCCACCATGATGCCGGTACTGGTGGAGGCGGGGCGGAGGGCCCGGTCATACAGGGAGTCCGCCGCGCTGCAGATGCTGTCGGGCCGGGCCAGGCTGTTGCGGGGAAGTGTGCGGTACCCCTCTGGGTACCGCGGAACCATCAGGGCCCGGTGGCTGGGCATGTTCCTCGGTAAGGTCTGGTAGGACGTTACACTGGAACAGAAAAAAGATGAGTAGTTAGTTACTCATCACTAACCACCACAGCCAAGGCGTGATCATTGGGTCGGAGGTTAGTTTGCCAGGTTTATCCAGGGTATCTGGATTCTGTGTTGACTCAAACAAGAAAAATAAAGGTAGTTATAAATGTCATTTGTTTGTGTTTTGATTCATCATCTAATGGAAGAAAAAGGAAAATGTGGTGCATCAGCGTTTGCAATGTATTGCATTTTAAAAGGAAAGTTTTTATGATAATAATAAAAGTAGTTTTAATAAAGGCTCCCACAACTAACAGTGTGGAAAGCAGACAGGTGGAACAGGGAAAACCCATCGTGTGATTTCCAGGTGGGTTAACTGTAGAGTGGTAACCCTCAGTTTGCCAGTTTCAACTCAAGGACAATTCAACTTGTTGACCACAAACCCCTCAAGCTAAAAAACCATAGACACAGCGTGGTGTTTGAAGTGTGGCTCGCAACCCAACCCTTCAAAGAAGGGGCTGAATGGTAAAAAGTTTTAAATATATTTTGGTGTATTACTCATTTACAACTTCATAACCTAAGTTCATGAATCCCAATGACATAAAGCAGTTATACAAAATAAATTCAGTGGTAAGAGCCACATTATACAGACCATATTCCTGTTAGATAGGTCATTAGAAAGTAAGATGCAAATTAGCAAAAGACGGTAGCAAATATATTATGTATTTTTTTCTGACCTGAAATAATTTACTGTTTTGTGAAAATGTATAAATGTGAACTGAATGGATGAGTAATTGTTTAAACCAGAGTGTGATTCATAAATCTGGTCTCTGAAGCCGGAGGCGAGATTGTCTGTTTGTCCGGCAGCACCAACACCTGATCTGCCGGATTTTGAAGCCCCTCTTTAGTTTTTCACCTGCAGGGCCCAGAGTGAAATGCTTTTGTGAGCACAAACTAGAGGGGAACAGCAAGCACCAGTGTGATTTTGGTGAAGTTGTGACTATCCTGGCCAAAATTACAGGGGGCGCTTCAAAATCCGGCAGCTCTAACAACTGCACTGCCGGATATGGAACCTCCTCTTTAGTTTTGTTCCTGCAGGGCCCAGAGTGAAATGCTTTTGTGAGCATAAACTAGAGGGGAACAGCAAGCACCAGTGTGATTTTGGTGAAGTTGTGACTGTCCTGGACAAAGTTGTAGGGGGGGTGCCATATCTGGCAGGAGAAATACCTGCTCTGCTGAACATGTTATAGAGAACAGTGCAGATCTAAAATAAGGAACATTAATAGTGTGATATCGGCACAGATATAAGATCAATAATACACTTTATTTTAGGGCACCTTTCAAAGCATTCAATGTCACCTTAAAATACAATAAAAAATAAAATATGAGTGGCATTACAATACAAACATGTGTTGAGTAGGAAACCACAGAGGAAAATGACATTCAAAGGAGCAATTAAAGCGAGTGAAGCCAGTTTGAACACATTATCTTTTAGGCTTGCTTGAAAATAACACAGTGTCTGACATATGTTATATCATTACTGTCATATAATTGCTTACTATTCGTGGTTATCAGACACTTAAACAACAGAGAAGGTTTTAAGAAATAGGACTATACTGACAAATCACATATTATCCTGTCATTGTCTGTTCTGTAGGAAGGAGGAATATAACAGAGTGGGACTGCACTCAAAAACGGAAGTTTGTTCCAATACGAAGATTGTGACTATCTGAAAAGTGTCCTTAAAACGAGCCTCCTCGCAATTGTATGCACATTATTTATTCAGCCGTTTGCTGTTTAATCTGATGGGAAATATATCATTCAAAAGAGAGAAAAGCTTTTTTAACTAGACAAACTCTCAATACAGGCGATGACGTCACGTTTGCGCGTCCCCGCGAACTGGGCTTCAATCGACGGCAAGGCTTCAATCTACGGCACAACACCGGCCCGTCTCTCCCCCATTCTCATTGAGTATTTTACAAAGAGTGAAACAAACAGCACCCCTCTAGATGTTATGGTGAAACAGTAGATTGCACTCACTGTTGCGAGAGGAGGCCAGCCGAATCTGGCTTCCCTTGGTGAAAAAAAATGGAGGGATTGACCAATCAGATGAGGCTCACATGATGCCCCTGCCAACCTGTGATTGGTCCGGGCCATGCCAAGGGAAGCCAGAGGCGGCTGGCTTTCCTTGCCTCACAATCCAATCAAACCGCATCAACTTAGTGTTGCAGTGACGCCTCCTAAAACCCGGAAGTAAGCTGCTCTCGGTTTCCCTCGACAAAAAAGCAATGGGATTTCTCCATAAGATTTAGGAAAATAGCTCGAAATAAGGTCAGTGGAAAACGAACCTGTTAGATAAATGCACGTTTTGTTCAGTCGGATAATATCCACATGTCTACCCTACTTTTATAATTTTCAAATCATAAATCTAATCGATAGAAGATAGATAGCATCACTGCACCACTCTCACCGCCGTTAGAAAGTAGCAAGTGTAGTGCAAGTAGCAAGTAGCAAGTGCAATTATGGAGGGTGGAGATTTGGAGTATTTCATCAAAAATAATTGTACTAAACTTCCGCTACAGCAGCAGCAACAAATACAATCTGATGACAGGCCAATGCCCAAACTGGAGCTGTGTACAGCGAGGAAAAAAGGAGCGAATCGGACGTAAAACGTTAAAGGTCTCCTGATTTAGTTTGTGAATGAATGCTTATTAGAGTTTCGGCTGGAGAGTGCGTGCGGACCTGTCTGTTAGATCAGTGGTTCCCAAACTTTTTGTGCCCAAGGCACACCAAAGGACAAGTAAAAATCTCATGGCACACCTATTGTGCAAAATAGCCCTTATAACACGTGTTATCACTCATATCATGTAAAATATCTGTAAATGTGCATAATTATTTACTAATGCCAAAAACAATGTGACAAAGACAACTATATTACTCATGAAATATTTATTAACGAAATATTTCAGAAATTAATTTGAAACTTTATGAAATTAGGCTTCATCAAAGCAGCAACACTCATTTAAACCAGACAGTTCACAAAATAAAAAATGAGGCAAGGAAACTCAGCAGAAATTCAGCACAGAGAACTGTCAATGCAAGGAAGCTGCACGGTCCATGGTCCTGAACTACAAATTATAAATGTAACATTTCAGCAATCAGCATTGAAACATGTGCTATTGTAAATATTTTGCCGACTTACAAATTTGTGAGATACATGTGCCTGTCGGGGCGCACAGGATTTTTTAATCCTTGGTGGCACTGAGGAGAGGGCCACTCGCAAGTCCTGTTCAACAGAGAGCCGTGACCTCCTGTTGTTCTTCATGTAAACCAGAGTAGAGAACGCTAACTCCAGAGATGGGGTCGTTACTAAAAAAATGTAATATATTACATATTACTTTAAAAAACAAGTAATATATTACACTACTTCGTTACTATCTACATAAAGTAACTCGTTACTTTACTCGCCGAGCACGTACGAACTGCGCATGCGTGAGTGGCAATAACTTTCCTTACCAGCCGGCGGCGGTAGTGTGTATTTGTCATTCAAAACAGGCGACAACCGTAAGACAGAGAAGAAGAACAGACTACGTGATATAAACAAACAACAAATAGCGTGTGCGGTAGCTTCACCTTAGCATGTGTTCTTTGCAGGTGTTTGTTGAGGTTTGACCACGTGGTGTTTCCAGCAGTGGATAACAGCTTCTGGCCTGGACACAGTTTGCACCTCACCGTCACATTCCTGTCTATTCTTCGGACGAACTCAAAATAATGGGCATACCTCCACCCCTCGAAAGTTATCGCTGACTCAGCCATGTTTATGCAGCACTGCACGTGGAGATGTGGACGCGCAAGTCGCACAGATTACGTACATATAAACCTACAAAGTACTGATATAGTAAATTAAATAATTATTTTTGTGTAGTTGGATATTGCAATAATAACGTATGGTTGTCACAAAATCCCACGGCACACCCGGACTTGCCTCACGGCACACCAGTGTGCCGCGGCACACCGTTTGGGAACCACTGGGTTAGATAACAGGCGTGTGTAACTCCTGCATCTGATACAAATGTGTGTAAAATGATACCGGGTGCTGTAATCACTCATCTGGTTACGTTATTACATTGACCACCACACCCCCGACCCAAAAGAAAGGACGTATTATTGGCTTCCCCTAATTTTTTCCCCACGCCACGCTACTGGAAACTATATCATTTCCTTTTGGAGGGCATGCATAACACGGCATAACACCAGAGCCTCGCTGCGGGGAAACGTTGGCGCTGTTCCGAGTTTGTTCTAATCTGTCAAAATGACAGACTGCTTTCAGATTTTTCCGTCATTGATAAATAAAATATTCGGTTAACGCGACCACTGCTGTCCCAGAAACATCAGTACCAAGCGAGAGAGTTCTTTCCAGAGCAGGGGATATTGTAAATGCCCAAACATCCCAGCTTATAAATACCTGGAAATGTGGACATTCTCATATTCCTAAAAACCTGTCTGATGATGCTGAGTGAGTGACTAGTGAGTTTGAGTTGAGTTACTTGAAAAACTAAAGTGAAACTTGATTTATTTTATTGCAGGGTCTGATTATTAAATGTCCTTGTTTATGTGTGAGATGCAGTGGCACAAAGAACATGCCTACTTTGTTTGGTAGTACTATAGGTACAAAAACACTGGTTTTCTTGTTCCAGTCTGTTACTGTCACTTTGTTTACACTTTAAAATACTGCTATCCTACTAAAATGCTGTACAAATCAGATTTATTATGTAATAAAGAAACATTTTCAGAGTAAAACAATGTTGAAAAAAAATTTGAATTTGTTTTCTTCTTTATTATTCAATATCGCGATAAATACCGAACCGTGGACTTGTTATCGCGATATTATCGTACCGTGAGTTTTTGGTATCGTTACATCCCTAATAATTTGCCTGTCAGTGTTATTTATATATATATCTTTGATTATAATTACTGATGCATATGGTAGCAATGTGGTAGCAGCAGTACTTTAAGGTT